GACTGCACTGTAACTTTTATCCATGTATTTTTTCTTTTAATGTTTCTTTTATTAGCTTTTCTTTTGAATGACTGATTTTAAATGCCATTTTCTTAATGTCTTTCATTTTTTGTAAAACACTTTGAATTGCCTTGTGTTGAAAAGTGCTATATAAATAAACTTGCCTTGCCTTACTTATACCAATGTCCATTGATTCATTTATTTACTCATTCATCCCTCCACAAATGAAAACAACACTGATGAACCATAAAAACGAGATTTATTACAAATATAAAAGGTATGACATAGAAAACAGTAGAAGGACATGTAATGTAGTATAATTGATTGGTGTCAGGCTGGGCGGAGCGGCTGATTGGTGCTGTGATTGCCTCAGCTGGTTAAAAGAGTCCTGCTGATTATACTCTGTTCTAGTACCAAAAACAAACGTATCTATGAGTGATGTGTGAGCGCGTCGGCCAGGCACTAAAACCAAAAGAACAGAAAAGAGCTTAAGAAAGATGGAAAGAAGGCTCTTTTATTCCTATTCCTCACTGTCAGTGTCAGGGCAGTCATCGTTCTCTTCCTCTGTTTCTTTTTTATTTGCACAATTTGAGCAACGACATAAGTCTGTGCAACAGAGTCCTGCAGAGAAGCATGAACATCTGCCTTTCTCACAGGCAGACTCTTTGCAGCTGCAGTGTATCACATGCAACACACTGTCAGGGGCAGGATTTCTTGTCATCCAGGTGACGTGTAAGTTCCCATCCTCTATTTCCCAACCATATCCAGCAGGTGATGGAGCATTCATTTCTCTTTTGAGACAGGACCTCATTATTGCTGCCTGGTAATTTGCCCTTTTGCAGTGCTGATGGAGGGCATCATGAGTAGGGGGAATGCTTAATTCTGGCAAGGCCGATGATGCCATACAGAAAGCCTTGTACCTAGCATCATTTACATGTTCGGCTGCTGGCTGATCATACAGGTGACATACATACCGGCAAAGAAGTGCAAATGTTGATTGCTCCAAGTCAAAGTTAGTACCTAAACTTCTGAAAGCCTTAAGGTAGTCATCTTTCTCACATGCAACAGCAAATGACTTTCTTTTGCCTTTGCCATAGAAAGCGCTTGTGGAGTCACACCCAGAGAACGTGTGAATTCCAATCAAGGCTGAACACACACTGGTTCCGAGAGCTGATGACACCATGGCAATGTCAATGATCCGTGTCCTGTTGCCAGTCCCTGTGAACACATATAAGCTGCATGGCAAATCTGCCTGCAGACTTACAGCAATGACTGCCACATCAGTGTCCGAGCTCTTGATGATGACAGCTTTGTGCTCCTGTGCAGCATGTTGGGCATGTAAAAACACCCGTGTGTCACATTCCTCATGATCACACTGCAGGTCTTCAACAACATCAACAGACTGTACACCCTCCATGACAGTTACACAGTGGCATTGATTTTGATGGGCAATGTACAAGCTGAGGTTTTTACCCACTGTTGTGAGGTCTGCATGTGTCCATGCCACATAAAGGAATTCGGCCAGTGCTTCCTTATTTTTTCCGTCAGAGAGAAACTTCTTCCACTGGGTTGGAGTTCTCTGATCTGGGCTGAAGATTGTTATTAGTTGTGACCCTGCATCAGCTCTACGGGACCGTTCTAGCCAGCCTCTTCTTCAACAGATCCTGTCTGTAACACAACAAAACAGTGACAATTACGAGTCACAGGAGTACCATCAAAAGCAGAGTGGTGGAGGTGATACAAGACATTACAGACTAGAACCTATCTGCCATACAGCACATTTAACACCAAAGAAGCCAAATAAAGGCCCACATCATCACAAACAACACTACACACTACACATCATGGGGGTTTCTCCAAACAGGCCTGTCATACACATTTTGTTTAAAGCTGGCCTTGCACATGATAAATAATAAGACTTGTATTACATTGCAGTTACCTGTAGTTTGAAGCATCAACACCTTCGTTTGCTTTCACCATGTCAATGAAGGCCTGCCTCAGCTGGCCCATTCTAAGCACCTCATTGTTGACAAGCAGCCTCTGGCGGATGATCCTCTCACAGAACAGCTTGTAACTGGCATCAAACATTGCCTCATCCCTACAACACATGAATGAGAAGTAAATAAATGGATAAATGAATAAGTGTTGTGATTGTGTGCACATATAACAGAAGGAAATTGGATGTTTACTTATAATGTTAAGTATGTGTATGTGTATATATATATATATAGCCATCGCCGACACACACCTGGACTTCAGTCTGGTGGTAGTGCAAATAGGTAAAGCAATCCAAGGAGAAATAACTTACTGTTCTGTCTCTGGTTTGTCAGGTCTCAGCAAAAACATGGTGTACTGACTGTAACAGCTTTTGTGGTACCGCACCTCCAGAGCCACACAGTCTTTGTCTTTTATATGTAAAAGAACACTTTGGTCATCTTTCTTCTCAGCAGCTTTCTGCAATTTGCCTAAACGGAAAAAAAGGACAACTCAATGAGTTTGTTGACGTATCTCTCACACATAATTGTACCTTTCAGTTATTCAACCACAGAGAATGTGTGTGTGTGTGTGTGTGTGTGTGTGTGTGGTGTGTGTGTAGTGTGTGTGTGGGTGGGGGAGGGGGTTTGCTTACCTGCTTTTAATGTTTCAGCCTTACACAGTTGATCCCTTTGTCGCTTGCCTGCTTTGATGATCATTTTCTCCTTCATCTTGCATATAATGCACAGGGCAGGAAGGACGGGGCCAGAGCCTGCGATTGGCAGGCCTGACCTTGATCGTAGCTTCTCTGTTTGGCTTCGGTACGTGCTGCGAGACGTCGATGGGATGGGCTCGACCTCAAGGTCCTCCCTAACGTCTTGATCTCCCTCACGTGCGAGCCGTCTTTCCACCTTCGTCATGGCCTTTGTGTCGGTAAACCTTATGTAGCATGTGTGGTGGAAGCCAGCGTCCTCAGGAATATCTTCGAACTCGAAATCAAGACAGTGCTTGTGGTTTTCAGCCACCACGTTCCGAGAGTCTCCCTTCAAGCCGAGCGACCGTTGTAAGCTTGTCCTGTACGTATTCCATCTTGTATTGGTAAAACAATCAACCTTTTCGTGCTTCACAGACGTAATATGCATGTAACAATGTTTGTGTGTTGACAATTTTGACTTTTTGAGACTTTCTGGTGCGTTTTCCTCGTCTCCGCTACTCGATGAAACCATGGCGGCCGCCATCTTTCACTTCTGTTGACAATATGCAGCTACCCAATTGGTGTAGCACGATCACGTGATGAACCGTGGCACGACTTTGGACCAAGATATTATTACGCTTCGAAGGGACTAGTTCAGCCAATAATTACGTGCCTAGAAGAATTGGCAGGAATTTTAGCGACGATATTTTTTTTGGTGGATAAGCATGACTCGTTCTTTTTTATGAACTAAAGATTGTGTAGTTTCACTTCTGTGGAGCGGGATTTCTTTTCTAAAGGACTTTTCGAGGTTCACCTTGCGGCCTATCTCTGAGATGTTTTCAAATTGGTACTTTAATTAATAAAAGGCGCGGTACAGTCACAAACAGGATATTGTCCGACAGAAAAGCAGCTGTCTCTGGCCCTCGCTAGCAGAGAAAAGAGGCCGAACCGCTCAGGTGCTGCTCTTATATAGCTTCTGTAGGCTCCTCCCTGCGGGCCGGCCCTCCACATCTTAATGTCCGTTGTTACGTTTAAACAGAGGATTCAGGCATTGTACATTCAATACATACTTAAACACGCCTCTTCTCCTCATATTGTCTTTCATCACTTTTCCTTTAACACATTCTAAACGTTGTAGTTAATATTCTAAAAAATACAGAAAATACTTCACGGCTGGTTTGGTTTCTGGTCATTCCGGATGTTGTCACATCTTACCCACGTCTGTAAACAATAACTTTATTCAAATAAACTATACCTTCATTTAATATTCAGCAATAATAATACGTCTATAGTTGCAGTGTTAAAATCAGTAGGTTTCGGTGTGCATCACTCCATGTCATTTCGCTACTAAATTAACCTCTATAAGAAATGGTAAACTAGCCACATGCTAACTGCTAATCGGAGATGAAGGATTTTCAGAATAAAAGCTTAACTGGTTGTGCACAATAATTTTCTGGTTTTTCAGTATAAAACAGCATTTAAACTGAAGGTACATTTAAGGTACATTATGCCATCAAAACATTGATTTTAATTTCTAACACTACCTGACTCAACTGCTCGAAACAAGGTCTGTCGATTATCTTGAGTAACCGGGTCATGGAGACATTTCGGTTGAGTTTTACAAATGAGCACCATTTTGTTCCATTATTCTGGAGAGCAGGCAGACATCTCCAACAATCTGTAAGTCACACCAAAACAAAACAGATTCAGTGGTTGAAAAATACTTTCCCTCAAGTACTGAACATTTTAGAAGTAATTGTGCTCTACTTGAATGCCAGACTAACAGAGTGTTTCTACACTATACAGTTGTTCTTAAAGGTGGGGTAGGTAATTCACTTCAGAAACACTTTTTGTTATATTCCATGGAATGCTCTTAACATCCCGATAGCAATGAATACATGAAATGCTTTGACAATAAATACATTAAAACATTTAATCTGTGGAAGCCGTGGCGCTGTAAAAAGCACGACCAATCATCTGAGCCGGCCCGGCTAAAGTAACTGGATGGCCTACCTGCCTGTCAGCCTCCCATCGGGGCACAAACTTATCTCGTGCCCTCATTGGTCATGTGCGCGTTCGTGTGTGTTGGAGGAGGGGCTCTGTGAGGAAGTCTGAAGGAAGGGGCAGATTTTTTTCGGCTTCGTACTTTCAAATTCTAGTGCACTCGAGCTGGTTTCTCCATTCTTACCTACCCTACTTCTTCCACTGCTGACTATTGATAAATATCATTATAAGAAAGAGAAAAAGTTAGATTTTTTAAGTAGCATTCTCTCCGGATAAGCAGGTTATTTATTCTCTTTGTCTATCACTTCTCTTCTCTGTTTCTCTGCAGGAAACACCATGACGGTCTCCTACATGTCGGGTTTGATGTTGGGCTCCGTCGTGGCGTACGCTGCCTACAGCTTCGCCGCTCCAGCATCAGAACCACCCTTCTCCACACTCAGCATACATGCCAATGCTACCGGGTACTGAATGTCTACACACAATAAAAACACACACACACATACCTGCAGCCATTTACACACACACATAACATCCAGAAGAAGCAGACTGGTGGACTTGAGCTGCAGAAAAGGAGAAGAAAAAACTCTAAAGTTCATGTGTATACTCTGAGATTGATTCTCTTTGTCCAGATCATTCTTCGATTTGGCTTTCTGGATAAATAAGTGGAAGAAAAGATGAAGAATATTATGTAAAACAGTGAAAACGTAGCTCTGTTGGTCCACTGACCTTCAAATGTCACGTCTCTGTTTCCCCGGAGGAGAGGAGCTGTCAGGAAGCCAACAGAAGCCCTTTGAGTGTGTGTGAACACACCGGCTGACATTTTGTACGGTGTAAAGTCAAGCGGCTTTTCGCTGCAGGGAAAGAAACAGCTTTCATAACGACGGGTCACATATGTTACATTTCATCATGTGGAGAAAATATGTCAGTGTGATTTTTCTGGATCAGTTATTTCAGATTTTATTTTCTTGATTATAATCTTTGACAACTTGGATCATTTAAAAACAAAAGCTACTTAAAAGGAACCCAATTATATTCACAGTGAAACAGAACCTCCTATCTAAGATGATTTATTTGCGATTGTCATGGAATTGAGACCGATTTAAAGGGATAGTTTTAGATTTTTTAAAGTGGGGTTGTATGAGTTACTTATCCACAGTTAGTGTTTTATCTACACAAATGTAGATGTTGTTTTGAAAGCCCCCAGTTATTTATTGGAAGGAAGCTAACTTATTTACGCAGTCGGGATAACAGCGAAACGTGTTTTAGACACCCAAATAAAAGGCCCATCTAAAAAAGCGATATCAGGTTAAGTGAGTGCTATATTTTGAGGATTCTTACCGCTTTACTTTGCTGTCATACAGCCCGTTCCTAAGGGAGATTAAAGCCTTTATCAATGCTGTATTCAAAGCTACCAGAATCCATTGAAAAAACACACAAAAAGAGCAAAGACAGAGTTTAAATATTTGAGTATTTAAACCAGGGGGGTCAAACTCAAATACACAGTAGGCCAAAATAAAAAAATGGGTACTAGTGGAGGGCCGGACTGGTTCAATGTTTATTGCAGAACGTATTGAAATGAACTTGTTGCACATATTAAACCTGGAACTAACAAAGCTTAAATTATTGCCTATCAAAACAAAATTAAACATTAAATAATCAGTTGCATTCATTTCTTATGGCTCTATCTGCAGCTTCTCCGGAGTCATTTCTTATGATTACATTTTTCCACAGGCCAACAACAGCTTCAACAAAACTATTTCCCTCAAAGAGAAAACCAAACATGCCCTGTTGTCGTGAGAGAGAAAGTGCAGAAGGAAACATCCATTAAACTCAGTGTGCTGCTCTGTGATGCTAGTTCAGATACTTGGCATCTCATCTTGGGTGCAAGGTCATCAATGTTTGGGCTCAGGCTCTGAGCTGAGGAGACCCTCAGGATGGAGTGAAGGTGTGCGTGCAATATACCGACGGGCCAGATCTAATCGGGCCGAAATTAAATCCACCACGGGCCTGATTTGGCCCCCGGGCCTTGAGTTTGACTCCACAAAGGTTATTTGACATGTATTTATAATAGATACATTGATCATTAACAGTTCACACTGCAATATAGAATTAGAACCTGGAAACACATTTTTACTTTTTGTTTTATCGTGCCTTTAAATGAATTACAGTTTACAGTTTCATGGATGAGAAACAACACACTTTCAAAAACTTTTTTTACTTAAAATGTTATGAAAATCCATCTTTCTTGTAGACAATAGAAGATTCAACTGTGTTTTGATTGGCTCCATTCATCTGGTTTACTGTGTCGCAGTTAGAAAAAAAACCATGAGTTGTGTTTATTTTCAATATTAAGAACATTATTTTTTAACTTTTAATTCAAACTTGTATATCTGAAAAGAAAATAAGTTCCATTATGTTTATGTGCATCAGCAGCTGCGGCTCTCTGGTCTTGTATTTCACCAAAATGCTAAAAAAAAAAGAGGAGGAAAAAGCAGATTTCTGTCTGTTCAGTGACTTTACTTCTTGCACCCTCTGATGGCTGTAAAGAGAACCAAATGTTGGTATGAGTGTACCAGATGAGATAATGATAGCTGTTGTTTAAAAAAAGAGATATTTTGTGTCCCCTCTGTGTCTCTCTGAACTGTGTCTGTGTGTAACATCCATGTAATGATGTGGGATAATATGAGGGAGTCAACTATGTGCCAAAAAGTCTACCTGTTTCTGCTCAGCTGTAAAAAGACTGAATGTAAGATAAAAGTTGTAAATATACAGAATTAAATGCTCTCAATGCCGTGGAAAGCTCTTATTTTACTCACGCAAAAGCCTCTATCTGATAAATATTAACATCCTTTATTTTTTCAGCTTCCCCAGCTTCTTATTTTCTCCACGTTTCGGATTCATTTTTCATTTGAGGATCTCCTGACAGTCCAGAGTTTATGCATTATGAAGATAACAGGCCTCAGAGTGCACTACATTATGTAGGTGACAGCTTGAATGGGGCCTATTGTCCGAGCTGTTTGAAGAATGGTAGGGTGCCGTGTTGGAGATAACCTCATTACTGTATGTATGTCCCTCTGTGCCCGAGGCGTCTCACCTCTCAGAGAACTCCTGGGTCTGAAGGTGTTTTGAGTTATTTTTGGTCAGGTGTGACATTAAAGGACATGAAAAGCCTTTTTCCTTCTTCGTCTCTCTCTTTGGGAGAAACCTTAGACCTTAGGAGAGAAGGGATGTTAGCAGATTTAGACATATACAGTACCTTTTGTCTATCTGCAGCAGGAAGGTGACTATTTTCACAGTTCAAGTTTAGCCATTCATCTCGGCGTTGTTTATTAGATGCACACAGGTCAAGAGACATGAGAACTGACAAAGAAGGGGCGTGACTCCAACTGTCATATAGAGAGGCGAAGTCCCTCCCTTTCCGGGGGAGCTCCATGGGACCTTATTTTGGAAAAAGTATGTATCGAAGTCAATGGAGAGAGAAAGATTATCTTTCGATCCCGTTTGAATTGTGCCACGAATTACACATATGATGTTTGTCAATTGAAAAGATCATTTTGCAAGTCAAAAAAAAAAAAATGTGTCGTAAAACTGTGAAGTAACACTTTTGTTTGTGTGAAACCGCTCAATGAACTACATCTCCCGTCTCGCACCACACACCAAGACGGCCGTCACGTTGGCACATTTCACTTCTCTCTTTCAGAATGAGGCAAAAAGTATTAAAAGAGGTGAAAATCACTCCAAGTCTGGGCACGTTGAGAGCTGTACACACACACAAGGGGAGTTAGTTGGTTCCGTGAGAGCCAGCATGCGGGACCGGGATTCTGGGATTTGTAGTCTTTCTAGTTGCGTATTTTTCATAGTCTTTTATTTCAACAGTTTTACGACAAACTGACTTTTTTGACATGGAAATGATTTTTTAAGATTGACAAACATCATATGTGTAATTCGTTACACAGTTCAAACGGGATCGAAAGATAATCTCTCTCTCCATTGACTTCAATACATAATTTTTCCGAAATAAGGTCCCATGGGGTGGAAGTAGATGGGCGGGACTTTGCCTCTCTATACCCCAGATAGTGACATCAGAATCATGTGCCACAGCCCTACCCAATGAGCACAGTAGTAGTCGCAGCTACTTATATAAACAATATGATTCACAGTAATACTGTATGTTATACTTCAACAAGGGAGATCCCACTTTCATGAAATATTAAGTTATGTGTATTTCTTCAAGCTAATTTAAAGGAAAGGTTTACATTTATAGAGCACTGCTGTGATATTTTTCCATGATGATCTGGAGGTTAGCAAAGTAAGGGTATTAGAGCAGTGCAAAAAAAATTAAGATCATTGGCAAACACACATTTACAATATTTCTACAATTTGTTCAGCAGGATAATCTCCACTGTAACACTCCTTTTTTAATTGTTGAAGAATAAATGCAATCGCCAGAAGTAAATAGCTAACAAAATTATAAATGTCACCACCGCTAAGCTAAAGGTGGCTAATTTGGAGCGGGATGAAGTTTAGTCGTCTCGTTTTAGACACTTGTTAGCAACCGCTGTTTTTAAGAAAAATGTAAGCTTCAGACATTCATCAGTGTAAACCAGAACAAAACGTTTACCTTACGATAAAAAACATTCAAAAAACCATTGACTTTGAGACAAGGGAACCCAGAACTGCTAAAATGCTAACTCATTTCCAGGTTTAAGAGTTAGATGAGAAGATTGATACCACGCATGTCTGTACTTTAAATATAGCTACAGCTAACAGCCGGTTAGCTTTAGTTAGCTTAACTAATCTATCAAGCAAGGAAACAGCTAGCATGGCTCTTTGCAAAGGTTACAAAATCTATCACCTCCAAATGAACATGTTAAATCTTATTTGTTTACTACAGTCTAGCTTTTTCACCCTCTTAAAGGCTACATGCTAAGCTAACCAGCTCCTGGCTCCAGTTTTGTATTTACCATAATGAAGAGTTGTATCCCTATCTGCAAGAAAGTAAATAAGCGTCCCCAAAAGGTTGATCAAATATTTTAAAGGGCCCATGTCATGCTTTTCCGGTTATGAAGGTTTTTCTGCATGTAAACGGTCTGCAGAGTCAAAAACCCTCAAAGTACACCCTGTAGCGAGTAAAACTCTAACACAGAAAAGACCTGTCTAGCTGCCCCAGAACGCCTCGTTGGAGATTTCTCTTTTTCCATTGTTTACTTCCTGGGTTCTGTGACGTGTGAACACCCAAATCAACAACAAATGGACCAATCCGCGGAGCACCTCACACACCAGGATCCCTTGGCTAACTAACAGGGAGTCCCCATTGACTTGCATAGAGCTCCCTGAACGTTGGTAATGGACGAGTTGGGATCACGGAGAAATGCTCTCCCTAGACCCATTCTCACAGCGTTATATAAACCTTTTTCTTACTCAATATCAAGCCACACTTATTGGTTTTACTTTGGCTGTGAGTGTTTGTGTGCTCAGGATGAGTTTTGCTTGTTCTCGCTGTATCGCCGACCTGGAAACCTGGGGGGGGGGGGGGGGGCAGGAGCTCCAATAAGCCGTTTAGGACAGAGAGTGAATACCTGGTGAATACACATACTTTACAGAGATGCTGGATGAGAAACCAATGTGAGTTTGGAAAATTGCACAATTTAAATCTATTCTAGTAGACCTCAACAATGGAAATATGATCAGTAGAAATGACATGGGCCCTTTAAGATGAACAATTTACTGCAGTGGCATTTTCCTGCCATTTGCTTCATGTGAGTTTAAAATACATGAAATAAAGAGTAAATTATAGTAGGCTACATTATAAACATCATGACACAAGTGTCTATTGAAGCTGTACTCCAGAAAATGTATCCTGAAAAATGAGACCCTGATGACACTTTGATCTGTTTAAAACTCACACTTTTAAATCATATTAATGAGCTATGAAAATCTGCATCATTTCAGAAACATTTTTGCACTTACTATCACTTCTATTTAATCTTGTGACTTCCTCCTTCTGTTTTTTTATACCAGTCACTTTCCTCCTAACCAACAGCAAAGCATTTCTTCGGAAAAGGTAATTTTGGAGAAACCAGCTTGAGTGCGCTAGAATTTGAAAATGCACAACCGGAAAAAATCTGCCACTTCCTTACAGAGCCCCTCCTCCAACACACACGAACGCGCACATGACCAATGAGGGCACGAGATAAGTTTGTGCACAGATGGAAGGCTGACAGGCAGGTAGGCCATCCAGTTACTTTAGCCGGGCCGGCTCAGATGATTGGTCGTGCTTTTTTCAGTACTACGGCTTCCACTGATGACATTTGTTTATGGATTTTTTGTCAAAGCACTTCAGATATTTATTGTTATCGGGATGTTAAGAGCATTCCATGGAATATAACAAAAAGTGTATCTCGAGCCGGTTTCTCAAACGTACCTACCCCACCTTTAAGTTTAATTTGTTTGTAAATATGTCATATGATTTGGGTCTGTGCCCATCATCAGATCTTAATAAAACATTTGTTCACATCTGTCTCTTGTTGCTATTTCTGCTGCATCCTATTTGCATGGAAGTAGATCAAAAAAAGGTTTGGATCAGAGCTCCTTTGTGTCTGTCAAAGCAGGAAGCGACCACATCCAGTCTGTCGGTTTTAAACAGCTCTGAGCAGAACAGATCTGAGACAACAAAACAAAACACTTCCACAGACGTTTGATAATCTTATGAT